ACTGGAGGCAGCTGTCCCCATGCCAGGGATGGGCTGAGCCTGGGCTAAATATGTGATGGGCTGAATGGCATTTGAGCCCTGTGATTCCCGTTAGAGTCAGGGAAAATTGCAATGCTAAAATACACAACGGTGTTTTAAGCACTTATGGTAGAAAGTAACAATCCACGTTGACGGTCACGCTTGCTCCTCGTGCGCAAACACCAGACGTGAGGGTCCGGTCCCGTTCGGGTGCTGGTCCTTGGGGAAGGACGACCACGACAATGTAGGGGCATCATGTATGCAGGCAGCGCTGCCAGCCCATACCTCTGCCCTTGCTCCTGGGGGCTCTCCAGTTAAAGGAGGGAGTTGGCACGCTGGTTGTCTTTGGAAAATTCCTGGTCCCCAACCCTCTCTTTGCTTCCTGACAATGAAAAGCATTTCCAACCTTGCCTTGTCTTAAAAAGCGAGACCTAAATCCCTTGTCATAAACAAGCCAGGAGCTCTGGGTGCAACGCGGGGGGCTTTGCTGGGTCACTTGTGACGTAGCAGAGCCTGGGGGGAAGCAGGATGAGGGAACACGATGTTCAGAGGAGGCAGGTTTCAAGCCGAGCCCTGAGAGGAGGGATGGTTAGAAAATCTTGTGGCTGTTTTCCAGGGTCTCAGACTAATGGTGTTTACTGGGCCTCAGATCAGAGTGGGCTCAGCGTGAGGCCTCTAAAACCTGAGGAGGCAGCTGCCCTGCTAAGGGCCAGCCCTCTCGTGAAGCCTGGACCACCTCGGGCTGGCGTAGGTGGTGGCCAAGCCTGTATGGTAACCCACAGGTTAATCCCATTCTCATTTGGTTTTCCCCTTTTTGTCCAGGCATCGTTTCCGTGCACCTCAAAAAGGACAGCCTCGGCAACCTGGCCCTGATCGCCAGCCCCAGTCTGCAGCCGGAGAGCTGCGGCCGGCTGGATAAGGCCATCGGCGACTCCTCGGTGACGATATGGGGCAAGTGCAAGTGGGCTGCCAGCGCCGGCAGCGAGCACACGCTCGTCAAGTGGAGTCACACGCAGCTCACCAAGACCTTCAAAGAGAGGTGAGGGTCTGCCGCTCCCTCCCGGTCCTCGCCTCCCGCTTTGGGTGGGGTCTGACAGGGCTGGTTTTGGTGGCACAACTCCTGGTTTAAGGGAAAGTGAGCAAAAGCAGCACCCAGCCGAGGTGAAGCCAAGCAAAGCCAAGCCCAGCTTGGTGGCTTCATGGTTCATCTCTTCCCCGGCGTGTGAACGCAGTGGGGCGGATTCGGCTATCACTGATGCTGTCGCTCAAATAGGTGTCTCAAACTCTGCTGTAAACCTGTTTCCTCGGAGCGCAGTGTGCCCCGAAAGGAGGAGAGGCCCCATGAGAACAGCCACCGAGCGCACAGCACGTAATGCCCTTCTGCTGGTAACCAGCCAGGAGTAACAGCCTCGAGGTGGTTCGATCCTGTCCTCGTCCCGGGGGAGAGCTGCCTCTGAAAGGCACCGCCGTGCCTGCAAGCACGCCGCGACCTTAGGGCCTGCAGAGGCTTTCTGCAAGACATCTTTCATCCCAAACTGGTTCCGAAAAGACCCAGGTCAGCTATGACTGAAGGGTGCAATATTGCTACCGTGAAACCGCTGCCCCCGGCGTGAAGGGAGTTATGGGTTTTGGATGAGCGAGATCAAGGAATGACCCTCCAAGGAGAAGAAATCTCATCGCTCCTTCCCTCCCCTCCTCAAAGCCAGCCCCTTTAAATTGGGATTCATTCCTATTGTCTGACAATTGGCCTGTGTTGTGCCCGTTAGGTAGATAAATAGAGATTCCCGGTCGCTGGCGCTATGAATGGCACTTTTCACAGGAGCCAAGCACATTTTGAAATGATAATGAAAGGAAATATTGGCACCCAGCAATAGCTGGCTTTCTGAAAATTACTTTTACGGAGTAACAAAGGATCTCCACAGTTTGGACATGATGAATATGTTTCCTCTGAGAGTCCCTGAAAATTTACCTTATCAAGTTTGAGGCTCCACAAAAGAGGAGGGGAGGAATATTCTCCTCTGGAGCTTATACACCAAACGCGTTCTTTTGTGTGCTTTGTCTAGCTGCCCGGGGAAGATGCGATTGAGGACAGACCTTCAGTACCACACAGATTCACTTCTGGAAGATGCAAACGGAAACCAGCCAGAAAGAAACAGCTACAACCCCTGGGGACTGCACTGTCACAGGCAGCACCTGAACCGCATGTCCTCCAAGCATAATGAGAACAAACTTCATCGTATCCTTTTTCTTCTCTCCCCTCCAGCCTAGTCCTGGCTACAAATAACCGCTCGTAATCGATGTATGCTTTACTGCAGGGGGTATGCATCCCTCCTCTGCCCAGTCCCTGGGAAAATACGGAATGTATCGCTCTGTTTTCCTCTCCCATTGTTCAGCTGGACTAGATCATCGTAGGTCTGGTCTATTCTATTCTTTAAAAAAATAGGAAGAAGAAAAAAAAACCCACTTCCCATCAGGAGTATTTCACATAAGTCAACGCATTGGTATACATTTAAAAACACAACTCTATAGGAATTAGCAGCTGCCTCGCCTTTTATTTTCCTATTCACTTCATTACCCACCAGTCATGTGAGTAATACAGTTTAACAACTTCTCCCACACCCCCCGGGAGTGAGTACAGCACTGAGGCAAGGTGTCGGATTGACAGCCCCGGGCTATGGTGTCACTAGAGAATGGAGCTGTTGGTGCTTTAATTGGTAGGACTGTACTACAGTAAATTAACTGAAATTGGCAGCAAGGGGCCTATAGCAATGACACGTTGGTAAAATTGGCTCGGAAAGACTCATTACAGTTGTGAGCTATTATGGAGAGCGTCAGCAGTTGCTCTGATTTAAGACCTCTTGCAATTAGAATTTAAAAGTATTGGGTTTCCCCTAACTCACGTTCAGAGTTTCTATTGCTTGAAAACGTGGTATCAAAATACAACTATCCCTGCATCCTGGACCTGAAGATGGGAACGCGGCAGCACGGCGACGATGCCTCGGAGGAGAAGAAAGCCCGGCACATCAAGAAGTGTGAACAAAGCACCTCTGCGTCTCTGGGTGTTCGCGTCTGTGGGATGCAGGTAAGACGGAGCCTCGGTGTTTGAAAGCAAGGCCATGGTTTCATCCCTGTCTCCCAGCAAATACAGGTTGGGAGAACTGGCCACTTGGCTGTGTGTCCTGCCCTCAGACAGGAGAGGATGCCTAGGGAAGAGCATAGAACTTAGCTCATACAGGGTAACCCTTCCCCTGTGCCCCTCTGCGACTTCTGCAGATTTGGCTGCTTTCACAAGCTGCATAACCACCACCAGTACGAGCAGCTGGAACCAGTTTACCCCAGCTGAGCACCTGCCTGTATGCAAACACAGATTCCCCTCTCATGCTCAGCTCTTGGCTGCTGCACAAAGAAAACCAGCAGAGCATCCCCCTGCCCTGCTCGTGCCCCCGCGGAGCTCTCTCCTCCCGCTGCTGCAGGAGCGAGGGGTTTATTTTGTGCTAAGTATTATGGTTCCTCTTGCTCAGCATCGCTGCTCTTCCTCCTAAAATCTGAACCCATGCATTTGTTTCACTCACACCTCTCAAGCAGGTTTCAAAACGTTGTTCTGCTGTGCCTGAAGGATAATTATGATAACGATGATTATAAAGCACATATAGCAGTGTCAACACCCGGTGTCAAACCCTGTGTCCCTTCCTGGACACTGACACCCTTCCATTGAGCAGATTATCCCTTAAATTACCACTGGCATGTGAGCTAATTCTGAATTCCCTCCCTCATTTCTTACTCAGCATTCCCAGAGCCTCACATACAAATTTCTGGCTACAGTGTGTCTCTCTGTGTTTAAGAAAGCAAGATTATTGCTCCCCGAGCATTATGTATTGTGAGGAGG